TTGATGGTGAATTGGCTCTATTTAACGATGGTGAAGATACGGCATGATGAACATTCTGATATGATAATGATGAGGATGATGAAGATGATCCATGCAAATTAATATCCTGCATTGAGGAATGTGGTGGTCTTAAGCGTTGTGATTCTAAATGTCGTAAAGGTACCATTCGATGTCGTACAATTGGTGGTGATGGTGTTTTCGGAACTTTAAAAATCGCTTCAACGTAAAAAAATGATGTTGAGAGGGCAAATAGCCCATATACAATTTGAACTTTAAACGACGACGTCATTTTTATACGAATGCGAACGTAAAACTAAAACATCATGATTCATCATCTATAACGCACCATAGAATATACAGGAAAGAAAATATATAGAGGGGAAAAATATATTGGAGGGGTAGAGAAATAATCGATACACATCAATAGAATAAATGGTTATATTGAATTTATAAAGGCTTTTATTCATCATGATTAGGGTTTATGTAATATATGAAAACTAAAAAAAAAAAAAAAAAGAAAAAAAAAAAAAAAAAGAAAAAATATGGTTGGTTGTGTATGATAATAATTTTTCATTTTATCTATTCTAAACTATGTAATCAAGCTGCCGTAGCTCGTTAATTATCGAGTGTATCTCATGCATATGATTTGTGTTCCCCGCTAGTCTCGATGATATTAATTTACGCAGTCGGGAACAGAGTTGGTTTGGGTCATTAAAGTACTCATAAACAATACGATTTTTCGCATCATATGGAATGAAGTTTGAATCGATTGAATTAGTACATGTTTCAATCTCTCCACCCCCTCCCCCAGTTTTTTTAGTACTACTACGAGTGCGTCTCCGATTTGATGGGTTTTCAGTGTCAGAAGATGTTGGAGATTGAGATTTATTTCCAATACGACGACGGTCTTTATCTGCTATGGACTTTAATCGTAACTTTACAGCAGGACTTCGTGCAAATTCTGTGATTGTACGTCTATCACGTATCCATTTTTCCTTCGCCTTCTCTGGTAAATCTTTAAACTTGATTGTTGTTGGTGACATTTCACCATCAATTTTTCTAGTTCGCATTGCATGCACTATCAGATTATCGTCGGGTGAGTTCTGGTAATTTTCAATTGAGTCTTCATCATAGTCTACTTCAAACTTGTAATCATTTATATCACCAATCATCGGTTTAATAACTGGATTACCTCTTGGGACTCTTCTGGTTGATTTCCACACTGCAGGTGTTGAAAATTTAGATTTCTCACCATCGCTGTCGGTTGTAAAGATGGTATCATCATCATCATCAATATTATCTAGGCTATTAGATGGTTGAATATCACTTTTCTCATACTGATTTTTTTCAATAAACTTCTCATTATTTTTAGTCTCTTTGACATCCTCAACATTTTTCGTTTCGTTAGATGATTTAGAATGGTTCAATATAGCTGTGACTGGCTTAAATACCTCACGTAATCTCCGCTCTTGCTCTATTCGATTCGAATGTGCTTTTTTATATTTTAATTTAATATTATTTCGCGCTGTCGCTATCTTAGAAAGAATATTTGTCTTCGTTGACGATGGTGATTGCTCTGTAGACTTTTTCAACTTCATTTTACTGAATTAATTACTGAATTAATTGCTGAATGTATGTATATTCATCTAACGATGATGAAATACTAAAATTTCAGCACACTTTTCATATCTTTTTATACATAAAATCTTTAGATTTTAAGATATTGATCGAAATTTTTGCGATAGCGACCTGACTCACTCGCATGTTCGATTGAAATACATGCGAAACCATATGGTTGCTTCCAGCACTCTAAGCAAAACTTTTTGAAATCATCGAATGACATGTCCGAATTAACGGACATGTCTGAATAGATGTGACGTAGGTTCACATCATCCTGTCGGAATGCTATCACCATGTTGGCATTATCTCTGTTAAGATAAATAGATTGATAAATACAGAAACGTAAACTCCAATATATTTCAATAAAGTAAAAACCTGATAAGATGTTTTTCCAACTTCGTGAAACTTTGAATCAGATAAATTACATCTATACACCGATGTCTACCTAATGTAAATATATTTTTAACAACTTGTCTATTCAGTTCACGATCGCACACAATGTCATCAAATATAACTAGAGAATTCTTCTTCATCTGACTCGGATCAAGTACATTTTCCGATGATGTAAATGTATAAAATCCAATCTCTTTTAGCGGTCGTAATATTTCAGCTAGATATTTATATTTTTCCTGATCCAAAGTGCGACTATACAAATAAATGTTCTCAAAGCGAATTCCGTGGGGGCTCTCGATCATGCTTAAAAGAACGTTCGTTTTCCCAGCTCCAGATGGAGCCGCTATAATAAGACGTACATTATTCGGAAAAAGATCGCTGTGCCTCTTTGGTGCGCAATCCCCAGCACGTGTATTATTGTCATTATTTTGAACTTTTATTTCAAGTGGATGTTGCGTGAAGTGCATATTGTCTGTAACTGATCCATAATATATATAAAGTATGAATTTATATAAAAATACAGTTCAATTGACGTCAAGACAACAACATGATAGGTTGTAATTGTTTTAATGTAAAAATGGAGGCGAATAATAATAAAGAAAGTGAGAAAAAAGCATATGGTTTAATTGATACCATCATAGATAAAATTCCATTTGAAATGCATATACCATCCTATCAGTTTGCCGGTCCAGGTACGAAAGTCGAAGAAAGGATTGCCAGAGGAGATCAGGGTAAAAACGAATTAGATTCGGCATGCAAAGATCATGATTTAGCATACTTAAAATGTAAAGATTCAAAAAGTCGTCACAAAGCCGATAAAACCCTAGCCAAACGTGCAGTTAAACGCATATATTCACGAGACGCGAAGTTAGATGAACGTGCCGCTGCGCTATTGGTATCAAGCATCATGGCTGCGAAAATGGCTTTAACAAAGACTGGTTTAGGTCTTAAATTCAGTAGTACTGCGACTAAAAAAATGAAAAGACGTGTGAAAGTTAAAAATCGTAAGAAAAATCTTACATCCAAGCGTAAGAAGAATCTTACATCGAAACAGAAATCTATAGCTTTCGCGAAATTAGTTCGAAATGCTAGAGAAAATATAAAGAAAAAATCTAAATCATCGTCATCATTGGACGATATCATAAAAGCGGCCATTCGAAGCGTCAAAGAAATGAAACGAGGAAAAAATGTGAATATTCCAAGAATCTTGAAATTGCCCAGGTTCGGAGGAAATATTAATTCCATTTTACCTATATTAAGTGGACTAAGCGCCGTCGGTTCCATTGCAGCATCAACTGTCGGGGTCGTGAAAACTCTCAAAGAAATTGAAAACGCTAAGAAGCAACTGATAACTGAAAATCAGTTGGATATTGCTGGTCAACACAAAGAAAAAGCGAAGAAAATCGGTAGTGCTCTACATTTAATCTATAAAGCTGATAAGAGCGTGAAAGGGAGTGGCTTTTACTTAAAACCATATCAGCATCATCGTTAAAGTATTATCATGACACGTAAACGTAAAAGTCCACCCAAAAAAGCTGTATATATCGAACCTTTAAGTAATTATCAGATTATTGATTTAGCTGCTAAAATGAAGATCCCCCATTTTTGTGGGGTGTTTATGAGAGATACTCTATCTAAAAAAGATAGACCTAAAGTACGTGAATGTTGGATCCTTAATCATGCTAATTCACGAAGTCCAGGCACTCATTGGTCGGCGTTAGCTAAAAAATACAATATGGCTTTTTATTTTGATTCATTCGGAAAACTTGCACCACCACTTGAAGTTCTCGATTATCTTGGCGAAGGTGTTCATCTTTATTATAATGTGAAGAGATATCAAAATTATGGAACGACTATTTGTGGTCATCTATGTTTAAAATTCCTACATGATTTTTGGCAAAATGAAGGGAAGAAAAAATGTATAAAAACACGTTCATCACAATAAATACTTCAGTCATTTGTCTAACATGACTTCATTAACTGTGTCTTTTACTGGTACATCTTCTGTGCTGCGAGCAGATTTTTTTCCTGAAATAACGCTCGATCCGAGCAGTAATTATTGTTGTGCACTTCTCGATTTCACTTCATACAATTCAATAGCTAATATCATCAATAAAGAAAATTCAGAATTCAAGTTCAAATATAGATTTGATGAGAAGAAAAAAGACGCAAAAGGGAAAGATACAATAAATATAGTGTGGAAAGAAAAAACAATTTCATTACAAACTGGGGCTTATGAAGTGGAAGACATATTGAATTATATTAAGTCAGAGCTCTCAGCAGTGAAAATTAATTTAACGTATAATATAAGTCGAGTGCTATCAAAAGTTTCAATTTCATTCAGCACTGACATCACCTGGTTGGATGGTACTGTTTTGAATGTGCTTGGATTTCATAAAGATCGCATCTCCACATTTAATAAGAATCTGTCATATTGGAGTTCGTCACTAGTAAAAATCACGCAAATCGATGTAATACGAATTGAATGCGATCTCATATACGGATCATATATAAACGGAAAACACTGCCATACAATCCATCAATTTTCGAATTGTAAAGTCGCACCAGGTTACAAATTTATTGAAGTACCACAGCATATTATATATCTACCGATAAGAGAGAAACGATTACGATCCATTCAAATTTCAATTGTTGATCAGAACGAAAATCCAGTTGATTTTCGTGGTGAGCAAATCAGCTGTCGAATTCACATAAAAAAAGTTGATGGTTAAGAATGCTGATTTATGCTGATGGTAATAGTATTAGCCCATTTGGATCGAGCTATAAAAGTGCCAGCAATCGAAAACGAGGCAGTATTCGCACAAAGGTCTCAAAGCAGGGTAGGCAGTCAACACATAAAGCTAAGAAAGTGAAAAAAAGTGGAAAAAAACCGAGAAAAAAACTCAGCGCAGAAAACGTAAAATTTTTAAGACAGCTAGGATATCAAATTAAAAAGAATTAAAAATAACAATAAAATAATAGTAATAATGGCTTCTGGCAGTATTCTGAGCATTGATAAGTTGGCGATTCATGATGATACCATTATAAAAAAGGACATTTATCCATACACCCCATATACGACGACATTTGATGAGTCTGACGAAATACGTATCGCTATACAGAGTAAAGATACATATTTACTCCCATCCGAGTCATTTTTATATCTACAGATTGTGGTCAACACAACTGGTACACATGGTAACGAAGACCCAGAGATAAAATTCGTCAACAACTTCGCCTCATTTTTATTCAGTGATGTGAGATATGAAATTAATGGAGTTCCAATAGAAAGTGTTAGAAATGTCGGACGCGCATCAACAATGAAATTAACGGTGGCATCACGCTTATCACATCTGATTGGTTATGCTTCATTCTGTAAAACGTTTGAATCTACAAGAGCGCGACATGCAAATGAAGCATCATACGATATCGCAATACCGTTGAGCGCATGGTTTTTATTTTGCGATGATTATCGTAAGATAATTTTGAATTGTCGACATGAGCTAATTCTCAATCGATCACGTCAAAGTCTAGACTGTACCATGGGAGGTGGTTCGACGGTTACTTCAGCTAAATCAAGTGTAACGTTGAAAAAAATCGAATGGAAAATGCCGCACATAACATTGTCAGATCATTTAAAATTGAGTATGCTCAACTATCTGTCAAAAAATCGTAAAATTATCGTGCAACATCGTTCCATGGATATGGTTGAATATCCGCTACTACCTGAAACGACTAGTCATATATGGTCAGTCAAAACGGTCCCATATGCAAATAAACCTAGATTTGTTATAGTGGCTTTGCAAACAAATCGGAATGGGCAGCGTGTTAGAGATGCTTCAAAATTTGACACATGTTTTGTGAGTGAAGTACGCCTGCATCTGAATTCACAGATTTATCCATATAACATGAATTCTCTTAACATCGGAGGTGGTATATATTCTGAACTATATGCTAATTATGCGGCCATTCAATCATCATACTACAATGGTGTAGAATCTATAAATCCATTCAATGTAAATTTCGGAGCTTTCCAATCTTCACCGCTTTTCGCATTTGATACATCGCGTGCTGATGAAAGTCTTATAGGTGGTTCTATTGACCTTCGAGTTGAAATAAAAACGCGTGAGAATATACCAGCCAACACTGCAGCATATTGCCTCATAATATATGATAGCGAATTCGTTTATTCACCGTTTGACGGTATCGTAGCACGAAACGTATAAATACCATAGTGAACATTTCAATTACCTCATTCACATTTATATGATATAAGAATAGTGAAGTATTAAAAATGATTAAGCGACAGGTCGTAAAAGAAATTCATCAATATGCTAGAAAATTTTTTCCGCGACGAAAATTTATAATGCGTGGGATATCTGATACGATTCAGGTGGACCTGATTGAAATGCAAACTTATAAGCGGGAAAATCAGGGTTTTCGCTATATTTTAGTAGCTATTGATGTTTTTTCAAAGATGGCATACGCCGAACCGTTGAAAAATAAAACAGGTTCAGAAGTCGCTCGAGCGATGGAATTTATTATACGTGAAATTATACGTAAATATCATCATATTAACCATATCCAATCTGATAATGGTCGGGAATTTTATTGCTCTACAATGAAGCGATTGTTTGAAAAATATGGCATTAATCACTATTCGACATTCAGTGTATTAAAATCTTCCATTGTGGAGCGTTTTATAAGGACCCTCAAGCGTCGGTTGTACACACAATTTAGTTTCAATGGTAATTATCGGTGGCTTGAAATTCTACAGCCGACAATTGATAATTACAACGACACATGGTAATTTAATATACACTACGTCATCCATAGCAATACGTTCCGAATAATAATAATAATATATATATATATATATATATTTTGTTTATATTAAGGCATCGTACAATACGCATGAATCCGAATCAGGTGAATGCTGAAAATGCACAGCATTTGCGTGATACAGTTTACAACTATACGCGGCTACAACCATCGTTAGATGCATCAGAGGTATTACCAATAACGAATAAAAAAACACTACAGCGACGAAAAGCAAAATTCAAAGTTGGTGACCATGTCAGACTATCTAAATATAGAACGATATTCGAAAAATCGTATAACCCTAGTTGGACCTGCGAACTCTTCATAATAAAAAAAATTCAATATAATACAGACCCAATAACGTATCTTCTCAGTGACTATCAAGGTCATGAAATTAAAGGTTCTGTATACGCAGAAGAGCTACAAATAGCGAAACATCCTAACGTTTACCTAGTAGAGAAAATTATTCGTAAACAGAATGGAAAAGCTTTTGTAAAATGGCTCGGTTTTGGATCAGAGCATAATTCTTGGATTCCCATTGAAGATATTCTTTAAAAAATGATAAGATTTTTGTATTAACTCTCTGTTTAATAAAATAAAAAAAATAAAATAATATGAATATTGTAAAAGGAAAAACACAATCGATTTTTAATGGTTTTGATTTGAATTTATTTTCTTCACATATTTTATATTATTATAAATAAGAGTGCTTAACCAATTCACATCCAAATATCGAAATGAGCATTTTTCAGCGTGTTCTTTATCATTATTTTTAGATAATTCATTGGAATAAATCTCAATGTCACGTACAAGATACATGTTATTATTCGATGTAATAGTACACTTTTTTCCTATCATAACCCGCTCGATTTTATCTGCGGTATGTATATTATGTTCAATGAATTTTACTGCCTTTTTCTTATCCATCGAAATGATTTGATTCAAAAAAATTTCAGCCCAACGCTTATCTTTATTTTTTTTATGAAACGTGGCCGTCCACAGGTCATATGTCGGAATAGCTGTGAAAATTCCAATCATATCAGTTTTAGTAACAATCACGGTAGTTTCAAAATCGTTAGCGCGCTTCAGCTGATGTGATAATATTACATCTTCGAATTTCTGGTTCACATAAGCCATTTTATATTTTTCAGTAAAAATAACTTCTACACACAGCAGTTTTTCGGTATAAGTCTCGAACTCAACTGAGTAAATACTAGTTTGAATAGTATATTGACACTGATTTCTTCATGTTAATGAATACGCATGCGTATAAACATATATAAATATAAATATTAAAAAAAAAAAGAAGAAATTATTCAATGTCATCAGTTTCTAATTTTCGCTTTTTCTCAGATGTATTTATTGAATAATGTCCCCAAGCTAAAGTATCAATATAATTCGATCTCTTAACAAAACGCTTATCATCGAAAGGGTTCAGAGCAATTTTATTCTGCTCAATCGTATATAATTCATGTTTTATCGATCGAATTGCGTTCTGTTTTCGAACGATCTCACAATTGTTCATGATGCATGTAGTATAATCATCAAACGAAATTTTTTGTTTGACTACGTTTTTTTTCACGCCTTTCGCTTTTTTATTCTTGATATTCAATTTTACATCGAGCGTGCGAATTGCATAGCATTTTGCACGCAAACCGGCGAATTCATATATGATGTTGCCATCCAGTTCATCTTTGAAACATCCTGGTACTTTTTTATTTTTACGTTCAATATTGAATTCATTCGGTATCGGATATGCGGACGTATCGAATCTCTCAATATTTTTACGCACATCATCATAAAAATCTGGTGTTTCAACGGCTAGAATGAAGCTATCGGTGTCCGTATAACATATTTGAATTTTATCGGAATATTTTGGCTTTAAATAATCGTAAAGGAACGAATACATAGTTAGTTTTGAGATGTCTAGAATGCACATACCAATAGCGATTGGTTTTGACATAAATATATGTGTTTTTTGTAATTCTATAGCGACCAAAGATTCATCGAAAATTCTACAACGTTTAAAATCAGGTCGTGCGATTAGAAATCTTGCACCAGATCTACCGTACCAGTTGTTCGCCAGCCGAATATCGACACGCGAGCGAAGATTTTCCATAGTTTTGCCTGCGTTTTAATGAGAAAGGGGGTCACTATTATTATTTAAAAAATGATAAATATTTTAAATAAATAAATACCGAAGACGGCGTTGTTCATCAATTTGTAGAAAGTCTTTTCAAACTCATTTGCCGCCTTTGTACGCATTTCCGTATTTAAATCAATATACAGCTTCAGCCACTCGCTTTGTTTGAATTTTAGTATACGATGTACTTTTTTCAATATGAGCCCATGGTGTAGAGCTAATTTTAACATTCTATAATGTAGAGCGTAATTCGTTTTATCGTAAAGCGTGAGCAACAGTTTCTGAAATTTATTGCTTCTCTTAGGAATTTTCATCGTCTTCTCCCCCGCTTTAGTTAACATTTTTTTTCTAATTTCATCTATGCGCCAGTTCTCAGAAATTTCGTATGCCTCGCTCGAAAGTGTTCGCTTCTCAGCGCAAAATGGAAAGTCATTATGCGCATCGTGAAGTGATGTAGGATAGTGAAGGTCTACTTCGAATATGTAGCCATATTGTCCATTGTCAGGTAAATTCAATATCGCCTCTGGATTAGAAAATAATTGTGATTCGTATGATGTTTCGCTATCGATGTCGTCATAATTATCATTAGTAGTACTAATCCACTCATATCCACCGATCGGTAAAGGTTGACTCATCGCATGACCGTAAAGATTATTGGCTAGAAATAGATTTTATTTTTTTAAAACTATCATAGAATAGTTAAATATATGAAAAATAGTGACTCACCATCAAGATATGCGATATAGCTCGTTGCGACATTTGGATCATATTTCTCCTTCATATATTTATTATTTGCTTTCGCAAATCTTTTTGAACATTGTGATATACCACCTCTTATCGAACTCTCAATGAAAGAATGCATATCTACGTCAGTTATAAGTTCGATTTTTGCATCTGTATATCGCAACATGGCATCCCAACTCAGTCCTGGTGCAGTATAGTAATGCGCCGGATCCAGATTATAAATTCGATGGCATGTATCACGGAAATTTTCGAAGATATCAGCCAATAATAGCACATCTGTTTTTAAATATAAATCAGAGTATTCTCCAAGCGTTTTCATTTCAAATTTTTCCCATACATCACAAGCAAATTGATAATCCTCAGTTGAAATTTTTTCATCATTCAGTCTACTGTAAAAATCATTTTCAGATGGCAATGCTGTCTCAGACAAACGCGCTATACTATCCACGTAATCGTATGGGTAAATTCCTTTTTTAAATAACATCGATATCTGATTGGGGGAATAAAATTTACTATGTTCAGCATGTGAAATATACTTCTTCTCATTAGGAATTTGTGATGCTAACTTTTCCAGTGACATGGGCATGAAACGGCATGAATCAATAAATTTCAATTTGATTTTTTCTCGATAATTCATAGTTTTCATGCTGTTCCAAACTACCTTTGTAAACGATATATACTGCTCAGCGTTATTAGGTATAATTGAGATATCACCATCTATTCGATGTGCCAATTCTTTAATGAATAAATGTGAATCGTACCCAGACAAATTGTGCATTACAACTGGAATTGTCCGGCTGTCTATATATTTTAAATTGCATTTAGCGTGTGCTATACCTCTTACGAAACCCGTCATATGGCAATGTTCACGTACCCGCAACTCATTTGATGCAAAACCACGACCGCAAATATGACATTTCGTATTTGGATCTTTAAGCATTCGCTCTTGATCCGCGGTTAATTTGACCATCGGTTTTTTTTCGTTTAGCTTGACTGCAACAAATTGTGCTATCTTCTCTAATTCTGCAACAAACCAACCAATACAGTCGGTGTTATCAGAATCATCTCTGTAGTCAGCGTAAAACGAATCCGAATCATTATATTCGCTTTTGAAGAAAAAACCAACACTATATACATGATGCCGCTGATAAGCATTAGTCGAACAATTTTCGCTGTATACGCGGTTTTGTTCATCACAACCATCGAGCTTTTTTAAGAACGATTCCATATCAGCATATATAATGAATGGTGATTTCATTTGATTTTTATGATTTTCGAAAGATATCCACTTGTTCGTTTCGTTAGGCATTTCGATGTGGTACTCATTAGTACACATCTTTATATGATCCACATATTTAGATTCATTATTGAAAAAGTTGAGACATCGATCACAGATATATTTCTTGTGTTCATATTTACTCAATTGTGTATTCACGAGTTTGTTCAAACTCTTAATCCAACAATAATGCGTACGAATACGATCACCATTGCTCATTGCTTTAACTACGTTCGCAACTGATTGTGCACCATATGAACAAGTATTATCTTCAAACAGCAATAATAGATGAATATGGTGCTTTTTAACAGTTGAAGTAATCCGTAGCGGAGAAACGCGTTCATTTTTTTCATTATAGTAGTATACATTGATTGATATATCATCATTCTGACCTTCGAATTTACCGATGTCTTGTATGCACACGGGAAATGATATGCCTTCAAAATTGAGTAGATGATCGTAATCCTTGTAGTGTGTACATCGCTGAGGATTGTTTTGAACTTTGAGAATTGAAGCTAAGACAGCATACTTAAAGCATTCATCATCATTATTATCAATATTGATGATCGCTTTTTTACTAGACAATTTTTTTGGTATTTTTATGTATGATCCACCACACAGCGGTTCATATGAACATATTTGTACATTTAACTGCATTATTTGGTTTAAAGTAAAACCCGAGCCTTCAGTCTCAATTTTCTCAACAGACCTTAGAATATCCTCCATAACATTTTCATGAAAGTGTTCATTTAAATCACTTTCAAGAGAAACCATTTTGCTCGCTGTTGTAAAATAAAAAGTTTGTTTTATGATCTCTTCATTTAGTTGCATGTTCGTAATTTTTTCAGTCACATCAAGGTTTTCATTGTCATTTTCATCATCATTTTCACTTGATGGTGTAATAATTGTCTTTTGATATTCAGCAATTAATACCGTCGATGATTTCACTATATTAAATTGATCGAGAATACGCGTCATTTCTGACTGATAAATGCTATACGCGTCACGCATAAAGTTAGATATATCTTTATGTCTATTATTAAGCACCGCGAATGTATGAATACGCTTATCAAATGAGTTTTCGAGAATTTTCAACTCAACACTCGGCTCTTCACTCATATTCGAACTTTCACTCGCGATAGAATTATCGATTGCATTTAGATTTTTACTTGTTACCGAATTATCGATAGCACTTGAATTTTCAATTGTGGTTTGATTTTCAGTATTCATTTTTACTCATTACTTTTTCTCTCTATCAAAATAATAGAAATGTGACTTTATAACTTGGTGGATGAAGCGCTTTTCAAACACTGGTTTCAGCTCATTTTCATTTTGCAAAAAGTAAATTCGCAATTTCTTTTTTTCTATATTTCAACGATATAAAATTACATC